CAGGTCCAGCATATGCTTGGTACAGTTAATAAATATTTGCTGTGGTTAGGTGGAGCCATTGCACATTGCAAAACCAACGGAGACTCCCTACCGATCTCCCTGCCTGTGACCTGCTGAGAATAATTTGCTTAAGTGGTTTCAGTGGATCGATGACCTCTTTTTCTTTCTTTTTTTTTTTTGTGATCTGCTTGTAATGTCCTCCAACTTTCTTTCCTGATATGAGGGCTGGGGCATAGTAGGGGCACAAGGCAGGTGCTCTCTGCGCCCCGGGCTTATCAGGCAAGGTGAAGGATTTTTTTTTTTTTGGCCTTCTCAAGCTTGTTATGACCTCAAGGACAAGCTCAGGGTTTTTAATTCCCCTGACTGCTCTATTTCCTGAGCTCCAGAAGGAATGCCTCAGGTCTGATGGCAGAATCCAAGGGTATTGATCCCTGTCTCAGGGAATCTGCTCAGCTGCACCTTCACCCGCCCACTGCTTTGCTTTTTCGGTCTTGAGACAAGGCTTAGCACACAAGGGTTTAGAACAGTGAAATCAAGGGCTGGAGAGTTGGAGATACAGTGGGTAGGGCACTCGCCCTACACCTGGCCCACCTGGATTGATCTCTGGCACCACATATGGTCCTCTGAGTTCCACCAAGAGTTATCCCTGAGTCCCACTAGGTATGATCTCCAAACAAAAACAAGCTAAAAAATGGAACAGTGGAGCAAAACAGCCCCTGAGAAAAGAATCAACAAACCAATTGAAATCACCATCAATTGTACTTTTTTCCCCAAGGAATGTTGGCCCTTGGCTTGTTTTTTTTTTTTCTTTCTGTGGGTGGGGGGGAGGGGGCACATTTAATAGTGCTTGGGGCTACTCCCAGCAGGGCCAGGGGACCACATGCAAGCCTTGTCCCTGTAGGAGTTAGAAGTGTTTTCTAAATTACAGTTTACTTAACCAAGAGTAATGGGGATTAGAGGAAGCATTAACCCAATACCTCTAAAAATATGGCGGCAGAGGAGGGTAATTTGAGCCCCCCAAATCTTTCCATAATGCTCCAGGACAGCCACAACAACGACGTATGGCTCCCAGCTCAATAAAAGGGTCTTTTACTTTCTTTTCTCCCCGTAATTAGCTGATGGGCTTTCTAATGAAAAAGCAATATAACTTTATCATTAGTTCCTAAATACACACACACACACACACACAGCACACATACGCACACACACAGGTGCACTATCAAGAATCAACCCCTTCCTGTTCCGCTTTTACATTAATATTTTTCTGAGCAAACAGGCCCTGCCATCTCCTGCCCACAGGAGCACCTGCACAGTGATATAGGTGCAGTGGAAGCAAAAGGAAGAAAATTCTGGGCCAGAAAGAATGCTCAGTGGACTGGAGTGTACCTTTGCATGTAGGGGGCCTGATCTTGATCCCTGGCACCACGTATGGTCCCCCAGAGCACTGCCAGGACTGATATCTGAGCACAGAGCTGGGGTGGCCCCTGAGCACCACTCATGTGGTCCTGAAATTAATAGAAAAAGGAGCAGGAGGAGATGAGGATGGGGCTTAAGTGAAGCAAGATTATCACAAAAGGACAAATACGGTATGATGCCACTTATATGATATAGGTAGAGCAGTGAAATTCAGAGGCAGTGGGGACTGGGGATTGGCAGGAAAAGGGAAGGGGACAGTTTTGAATGAGGAGAGTTGTGACCCAGCAGGATAAAGAATAGGAGTAGTAAGTAGTAAGTAGTCAGAAAGAGAGGGGCAGACATAGAATGACTGCACTCATTTGTGGAATATAAAGTAACATAATCTGAGACTAACACCTAAGGGCAGTAGAGATAAGGGCCGGAGGATCACTCCGTGGTTTGGAGGCTGGCCTCATGTGCTGGGAGAAAAGGCAGTTGAGATAGAGAAGGGACCACTAAGTGGTTGGAGGGATCACTGTGAATAAGAGATGCGTGCTGAAAGTAGACTAAGGGCCAAACATGATGGCCTCTCAGTATCTGTATAGAAAACCATACATCCAAAAGTAGAGAAAGAGTAAGAAGAAAGGTGCCTGCCACAGGGGCAGGGGGTGGGATGGGGCGGAGGAGGTGGGAGGGATACTGGGAACATTGGTGGTGGAGGGATGGGTGCTCCATCATTGTATGACTGAAATGTAATCATGAAAGTTTGTAACTGTATCTCACGGTGATTTAATTTAAAAATAATTAATAAGTAAATAACCCCCCAAAGAACAGAAGTAGTAATAGACGAGTAGCAGCAGCAGCAGCAGCAGCAGCAGCAGCAGCAGTAGTAGTAGTAGTAATAGAAATAGCAGAGTGTGAGGTGAACGTGATAAACCACTATACAATGGAAACTTCTAGAAATAGTAGAGTGGAAGGTTTTGATAGCACCACAATATGAATATGCTACCACCTCATTATCACTAGTACCATAAACCATCATCAGATAGAACTTCGATGGAAAAAGCATTGTTTTTGTTTTATCTGGGGGGCATACCCAGTGGTGCTCAGGGCTTACTCCTGGCTCTGTGCTCGGGGATCACTCCTGGTGGGGTCCAGGGGACCCCAAGAGACCTGGATTGAACTTGGGTTGGCCATGTGCAAGGCAAGCGCCCTACCTGCTAGACTATAGATCTGGCCCATTTGTTTGGTTTTTGAGGCCACAGCAGCACAGCAGTGGGACCCAGAGGTGACTCCAGCTTGCCTTTCTTGTGTATAGTTTGGGAGACTATGTACGGGGTGTGTGTGTGTGTGTGTGTGTGTGTGTGTGTGTGTAAGGAGAGGTTTGGACCCAGGAATGCAGCATACAAAGCTTATACTTCACTCTTTTGAGTTAACTACCTATCCACAAATGAAAAAAGTTATTATAAAAAGTTAAAGATAATCATTTCATAAAAAGAAAATATTAATTTTATTTAAAGTTGTTTTTGTGCCACACCCGGAGGTGCTCAGGGATTACTCCTGACTCTGCACTCAGAGATCATATCTGTGGTATCAGGAGAACATAGGTGATGCCAGGGATCGAATCTGGGTGAGTCACAAGGCAAGTGCCCTACCCGCTATACTATCACTTCAACTCCAAAAGAAAATAGAAAATTTATTGCATTAAGTCATAAAGTATTACATAAACATTACTTACCTTTATAGTTATATATACACTATGAAGTTTCTTATCAAGTATGAATGTTTTATATTCATAATGTTTTTGTTTTTGGAGGAGGTGCTTGGGAACTTGTAGGTGGGACCTTCAAACTTTTTTTTTTGCTTCTTGGGTCACATCTGGCAATGCACAGGGGTTACTCCTGGCTCTGCAGTCAGGAATTACTCCTGGCGGTGCTCAGGGGACCACATGGAATACTGGGAATCGTACCCAGGTCAGCCGCATGCAAGGCAAACACCCTACCCATTGTGCTATCGCTCCAGCCCCAGGACCTTCAAACTATAGAGAACTACACTGTGACGACAAGCAGGATTAGCTTTAATGGTCTCCTGTCATGTTTTAGGTTGGAAGGGGAAAGGACATCAGTTAAGGCCACTAGTGATGATACAATGGTGCATGGTCAGAGGCTGAGCTGGCGGAATATCCCACAGCTCTGCCCCGACAAGGACCCCTGGGCCTCTTCCCTGAGCATCCAGGGAGGAACAGTCCAGAGGAGCCTGCTGACGAGGCACCGAGAGAAGCGACTGACAGTTCCAGTTACACCAGAAAGGTTGATATATCATAATGACAAGGCGAAAAAGAGGTTTAAGCCATCTGTTCCCATTTATGCTTTAGACACCGAGTTTTAGCAGAGAATATCTGAGAGACAGGGCTATAAATCTTTTATAATTTGGAAAAGGAAATCATTTTTAAAATGATTAGCACACTTTGTAATAAAAAAGGCATGAACTAAAAGACTGTAAAACCTGCTCTGACAACCTGGCCTGAAGTCAAAAATTGACGACTTAGAAATTGTGACCTCACAGAGTCTGGTTTGGGTATGTTTTTTTTCCCCCTGCCTCTCTCCCTCCCTCCTTCCTCCCCTCCCTCCCTCCCTTCCTCCCTCCCCCCTCTCTCTTCCCTCTTTCTCCCTCTCTCTCTCTTTTTCTTCTCCTTCCTTCCTTCCTTCCTTCCTTCCTTCCTTCCTTCCTTCCTTCCTTTTTTCCTTCCTTCTTCTCTCTCTTTCTCTCTTTCTTTCCTTTCCGTATGACAAAGTGTTTAAAATCCAAAGATCAAAATTTGGTAGTACATAGATATTCTAGGACAAAATAAAAAGGGGAGCCAAAGAGCATGTTTAGTAAAGGATACACGCATCTGTTTTATAATTATTGGGCTACTTTTTCCTTTTTGGGTTTTCAGGCCACACCGCAGTGCTGGTGGCTGTTCCTGGATCTGTACTCATGGGTCAATCCTGGAGGTGTTTAGACAACCACATAGGGTGCCAGGAATCAAAGAAGGGTCATCTGTATGCAAGGCAAGGGTCTTACTCCCTAGATAGCTCTATGGTCCCTATGGTACTTTAATATGTCATTTTCCACCTTTTTTTTTAAAAAAAAAATTTCAATTAAAGAAATTTTCTCTCTTGGATTTTGAACTTTTTTTTACTATTTAGTTTGCTTTGGCATCACAACCTCTGTGCTCAGGGGCTCCATGCTCAAGGAGCACTTCTGGACAGCTCAGGGAACTGGTCAGTCGTATGCAAGGTGAGCCCCTAAAGCCCTGCAGTCCCCCTCTGGTCCTGACAAATTTATAAATTTCCAATAAAGTCCTAAAATCAAGTCTTTGTTGGGTTATGAGAATGGAAACCCGTTATACACAAAAGATGAAGCATTTTATCATCCCAAGCGCCTCAAGGCTACTAGGAAAGATGGCTGTTCCCACCCAGACACCGTGGGGCCGACCTTTTCCATCCAGAGGCGCTCATTTCTCAGTTGGGGATGCCTGCCTTATGGTTCCCCATTCCACATCTGGTCAGAGGCTTTGCTTCTCAATTTCACTGACAATTGGAGAGTTCTCCGCTCCCTACCTTTCACCCTGTCCGTCTTTCCTCTTGCGTTGGAGTTCTCTTTGGTGGAATCCTTCAGTGTTCCGTATTCCTTTTCCATCTTGGCCGCTTCTTCCTTGGTGCTGTCTGTTTCCTCATGACTCTTCTCTGAAGGAGCTGACATCAGATTGGGAACAGTCAGAACTTGTCTTCCACCGAGTGCCCTCGTCTATCCCTCCTACCCCAGGTATAAACTTTACCGAGAAGGTACAGTTAAAGGGCAAATTCCTTCTCCTGCCCCCAATCTTATCCCCACTCCAAGCAATAAGGGATCTTAGTGAAGTTTTATTCCAAACTTCTCCCCCTTCCCATTTTGTGGGAGGCAAAACAGAGGCTTCATGGTATGGGGGTGGAGCCGGCCCTTTCCTCCCCATCCCAACGAGACTCCAAGTAGCTGCCCATGAACGGCCTTTCTGGCTCCTGATCAAGCTGCTTAATGGCCATTATCCCAGAGACTCAGGAACAAATCTTGGAACCCAGCAGGTTTTGGCAGAAATCCCTCCAGATTTAAGTGTTAAAATTTTGGAATTTCAAAATCACGTGGCCACTACTGCAGCCATGCGACATCATGTGTTATTCTTAACCAGCAATAGAAAACAACATGTCTACTGTTGCCTTTTCAGCAGATCTGAGTGTTGGGGTAAAATCCCAAATAATAATGGTGGGTCTGGTGTTAAAATATTGAATGTGATCAAAGGAGAGAGAGAGTAATGTGGAAATCATCTGCCCCACAGGTAGGGGGATGGTGTGGGATGGAGTATACTGGGGTTTTTGGAGGTGGAGAATGGGCACCGGTGAAGGTCCGAGTGTTTCATTGTATGAGCAAGACTTAAACCTGAAAGCTTTGTAACTGCTCTCACGGTGATTCAATAAATAAAATTATAAAACAAATGGGAAAAAAAACAGAGGCTTGTTTCCCACAAAAATTTCATTCATTTAATTTCTCCCGTAAAAGTTTCATTCTTTCCTGTCTGCCACATTTAGGATTGCTTTAATTAAAGTCGGCAGTCAAGTATGATCCATAAGAAATTTGAGTCTCGGGGCAGGAGCTTTAGCACAGCGGGGAGGGCATTTGCCTTGCACGCGGCCGACCTGGGTTCAATTCCAGGCATCCCATATGGTCCCCCAAGCACCACCAGGAGTGATTCCTGAGTGCAGAGCCAGGAATGACCCCTGAGCATCGCTGGCTGTGACCCAAAAAGAAAAAAAAAATTGAGGTTTTTTCCCCCTATTTTTAAAAATTATTATTTTTTTCCTTTAGGGTCACACCCGGCAATGTTCAGGGGTTACTCCTGGCTCTGCACTCAGGAATTACTCCTGACGATGCCTGGGGGACTATGTGGGATGCTGGGGATTGAACCTGGGTCAGACATGTGCAAGGCAAATGCCCTACCCGCTGTGATATTACTCTGCCCCAAGAAATTTTGAGTCTTGAATCCAAATGGAAGTTGTGCCTGTTTCCCAATTTCCCCTTCAGGCTCTGTTTAGAATGGCAGTCTGTTGGGCAGCGCCGCAGTGGGGGTCAGGCCCTCTGCTGCCCTTTCTTGTTCCCCCTCTCTGCTCACTCACCGTGAAGAGAAACTGGGCCCCTGCTGTGAAGATGCCATTACTCTCGCTTGAATCCCAAAACAACCAGAGTTCCTTTTAGAAATCCTATACTGAATTAAAAATTTGGGACCTTAATGTACATAAATCTTTTCTTTGCCAGCTTGGGCCACAGCTGGTGGTGCTCACGTGCTTATTCCTGGCTCCACGGCAAGGGGTGACTCCTGTTGGGGCTTGGGGAAAACCACAGGAGATGCCAAGGATGGAATCGGTGTTAGCCAGCAATAAGGCAAGTACCTTATCCCCTGCCCCCCGACCCCAGTGAACTCGTGAAAATAATTGTCATGCATCTCTTAAGTTAATAAAATAGGGAACTGTTTTTAAAAACAGGTTGATCAGGGGCCAGAGTGCAGTAGTACAGTGGGTAAGGTGCTTGCCTTGCACACAACTAGCCTGGGTTCAATCCCCGGCAACCCATATGGTCTCCTGAGCACCACCAGGATTGATTCCTGAGTGCAGAGCCTGAGCACTGTTGGCTGTGGCCCCCCAAAATAAAGAGGTCAATCACTATAGAGAAAGATAAGAATATTAGTTACTGCATGTGTGTACATGATTTTTTTCATAAGATCACTATAGAAAAAAATAAGAACATAAGTTATTGCTTGTGTGTGTGTGTGTGTGTGTGTGTGTGCGCGCGCGCGCGCATGTGTGTATATGATTTTTTTCACAAGCTGTAATTTTGTTCCTGGATTTTGTCATTAGAATCATGGAGGGATAAAAAAGATGTTGTCAGATTACCGGAAGGTGCTTGAAACATCACATTAAAAAGTTGTGGGGGACACCGGTGGTGTTCATGTAGGGTGTTAGAACATTGTATGGCTGAAACCCAGTGACGAACAACTTTGTAACTGTGAATCTCATCATGATTCAATTCAAAAAATAAAATTAAAATACATTTTTAAGAAATGGTATATTATGCGTCAAGTGTGTCAGGACCATAAGACAAAAAAGGTTTAAGAATTTGTGAATCTTTTACTTTTCACTCTTCCTGCCCCTGAAAGGAAGCGTCCTTGTGCAGTTTGGCTCTGGCATGTGCAGTGCTGGGTGGGGGCAAAGGAGCAAAGAAACAGAGAGAAGGGGCTGGAATATACAACACTGGTGTGCACAAGCTATCCCAGAGGAGAGAGAACTGCGAGGGGAAAACAAGGAAGGTGTGTGTGTGGGGGGGGGGGAAGGGGGGCGGGTAGGGGGGGCAGGGAAAGTGGTCAGAGACCGAAACAATGGTCTGAGAAAGTAGTAGTCTGGGAAGAGAAAAAGACCCCTCAGGAGGAATTTGAGGGAGAATCATACAGGTTAGTGATACTGGGCTTATTCTCTCCCTACCAGCCACCTCTGAAGTCTCTAATGTCAAGACCTACATTTCTTCCCACTCCTGGGATAATAGTTCTGTACTGAGGATGGTCACAGAGCAGCCAAGGTTAGACCTATTTAATCCTACTATTGGGGTTCAGAATCAAACACTCCTTGAAATCTGTAATTCTCTAATCCATGCCTAAAATTCGTTATTGACCACTCAAGGGGGCTACTGTGCATAGGGCAGGCGAGAAAATGGGTGGGGGGAGGGGAGATAACTCGAAAATCTGGAATAAATCATACCTGGGAAAAGCTTGCTTTTACTGTCAGTGATGTTTTTTTCTAGCTTGTTTTTGGTCTGCAGAGCAATTGTTTCATCCAAGTTTTCTGGAGGGAGGAGTGGGGGAGAAACAGAATTTTATTTTCTAAGAGTAATAAACTTTCACTAAAAGAGCTTCAAATCTCACCAGAAACATAAGAGCAAGATATACACAGTCTTAACAGGGTTTTTAGATGCTCTGCTATGAATTTTATTTCCAAAAGGGTATACCTGAGATCCACAAGGTCAATCTTCTAGTCAGTTTATTGTCCAAATCTATATTCCTGTTGTGGCCCTTACTCAGACACATCCTAGATGTGTCTTCTAATGGACGCCCATGGTTTGGCCTGCTCACCACATACCAATCACACAATCATTTCCCTAGTTTCTTGATTTCACTAGGCACATTTCAAATTCCCAGTTACCAGTGTAGCTAGATGTCACTATATTGAATGATTCAGAAATGATTATTTTCAGTATTGGAGAAAGTGATGCTAGTCTGAATAGGTTTTAAGTACAAATAGTGGAAGAAACAGAGATACTTCACCAAGGGAGAGTATTTACAATCAATGCTCTGTTCTTAGACTAATTTTCATTGTTAAAGGTTTGTGTTTTAGGTTTTGTTTTTTGGAGTACCACACCTGGCAATGCTCAGGGGTTACTCCTGGCTTTGCATTCAGGAATTAATCCTGGTGGTGCTCAGGGAAACTACATGGAACGCCGAGGATCGGACCCAGGTTGGCTGCATGCAAGTCAAGCACCTTGCCTGCTCTACTCTCTCCAGTTCCCAAATATTTGTGTTTTTAATAATTGTTTGTTTCTGTTTTAAATTCATTTATATATGCATATTTATAGAGATTAACTACAGGGGTAATGTTCATGTTGTTCTGTTAAATGCCATAATTCATTTAGAACATGACCTCAGTCAGGTGTTCAAAAATTGCTATATATAAAAAAAACCCACCAAAACTTAAAGTGGGATTGGAGAGATAATATATTGGGTTACTTGCCTTACAGATAATACAGATAATACTTGCCTTACAAAACCCTAATATATGTGTGTGTGTGTGTGTGTGTGTGAGTGTGTGTGTATGCATGGGAGGAAAATTGGAGGGAAATAAACAAGAAAATTATCTGGGTATGATTAATCAATTTTTTCTATATTCTTCATTTTTGAATGGAACTCAGGGAACCGTATGTGGTGCCAGGGATCAAAATCTGGTCAGTCACATGCAAAGCAAGCACTTGACTTCCATGCTATCTCTCAAGCAAATTTTAATTTAAATAACATGTGATTGGTAGCTGCCACACGGAACAGCACAACTATAAATAATAGTGGAAATACCTGCCTAGCACATAAGCCTTGTGGCAGCTTTATTTCTATAGGATAAATGACATAAGTGTGGGATTTCTGAAGGTATTGATACAAAACAATGATTCATTTGAAGTAGTGCTTTTGGCTTATTGCCAAGTGAGTAAAATAGGTCACAAAGCACTGTGTGAACCATAAGTCATTCTCTTGTTTTAAATAAAAGAAAAATATGACATCAGTATATATGTGTGAATGGCTATGCAGACACACATAAAAAAACATTTGGGGGAGATTTAAACCAGAATGGTACTTGGGTCACAGTATTACAGGTGGCTTTTCACTTCCCTTCAAACATCTTTTTGCATTGACTGAGTTTTGAAATTAATATCTTCGTTTTTAATCATCAGAAAAAAATCAACAGTAATATTATTTAAGATAGAAAAATTAAGTTCACTCAGAATGATTCTAGATTACTCTGTCCTATGAGAATTTCTCTCTGATTAATTCTCCCTCCCACACTGAAGATTATGTCTAAAGGATAGTAGGAATGAATGGTATTTGCTGATGACACCAAGAAGAAAAATAAAGGGCCTAAGACAAAGCAAAACAAAATATCTACATGTAGAATTAAAGAGTGTCATTGCGGGCTGGAGAGATAGCACAGCGGGTAGGGCGTTTGCCTTGCACGTGCCAACCCGGGTTCAATTCCCAGCATCCCATATAGTTCCCTGAGTACGGCCAGGAGTAACTCCTAAGTGTAGAGCCAGGAGTAACCCCTGTACATCGTCGGGTGTGACCCAAAAAATCGAAAAAAAAAAAATAAAGAATGTCATTGCTTGTATATATATATATTTTTTTTTTTTCCTTTCAACTTAGGAAATCAGGGTTCAGCTAACTCTTTCTGTAGAAGGTCAGTACATATTTTTTTTTTCACCCTGCAGACCAGATGGCCTCCCTGCAGCTTTATCTAGCCCTGCCGTTGAAGCAGGAAAGCAGCCACCTGCACTAAAATGAGCATGGCTGAGCGCCAACTAATTCCACTTATGGATACTAAAGTTTGAATTTCATGTGTTCCTCTCATGTCACCAAATACTATTCTTCTCTTAGCATTTTAGCCATTGAAAGATACTACAGTCATTCTGAGTTTGTGTGCGATACGAAAGTAGCTGAAGTGCCAGATCTGGCGTATGGGCAGTGGCTTCCCGATCTCTGTCATAGAGAGCAAAGCCTGCTAGCAGGGGACAGATCAGGGTCTTCCTTGCCAGCAAATGCACTGGGGCCAGGCAGCAGAGCTTCTGGAGCCCAGGCCCCACAAGCCTCTACCCACAGAGGTGGTGAAAATCAGGACTCCTTTCTCTCTGCCATTCACACTGAATTGGAAAAAGCAAAGCCACACTGGAAGGAATCATCTTCATTAGTAAGATAAATAAAACAAATGCAAAATGTTACACTTGAGTTCTATGAAGATCTGTCACTGTCCTCCCGTTGTTCATCGATTTGCTGGAGCGGGCGCTGTAACGTCTCCATTGTGACAATTGTTACTGTGTTTTGGCATATCGAATATGTCACAGGTAGCTTGCCAAAGGGGTGAAAACCTCTGGTTAATTTTATTATCAGGCTGGGTAGTTCTGATTCCCAGATTATTCAAACTCTTGGCACAAATTACCCAGGTATTGAAGTGACTGTTACCTAATCATCTGTAATTCATTCTTTTGGTTGTTGTTTTTGCAGGGGGTGTGGGTTACATCTAGAAGTGCTTTAAAGTTAGTCCTGGTACTATGTTAGGGATGCTGCTAGCAGTGCTCAGGGACCTTATGCAGTGCAAGGCAATTCCCTAATCCCTGTTCTCTCTTCGGACAATGGAAACTACCACAGCAGAAACCTCTCACCCAGGTAGGAAACACCTTCTTCCGGAGATATGGTGCCATACTTGACCATCATCTTCACAAAGTCGATCAACGTTTTCATGATGGTAATCAGAGTTTCCTTCTCTTTTGCCTCTTTTTCTATATGAAAGAACAAAACAATTTAAAAATAATTAGTATAAGTATACCTTCACTTTTCACTGGTGATTTATGAAGTACAGAACCTTAATGAACTATTTCTTCCAATATTTACAGCTAAATTTATAGTAAGGTAGCTACTGATTTTATAGGAGTTCAATGGATGAGTTAACTCTAAAATCAGAAGAAAAACAAATTTCCTTGTCTGAAGAAAAAAACCCAGAGGCTAGACAAAGCCCACTTCCCCATGACTCTTCTTTTTCAGATACAAGGAAGGATTTTTTTCCCCCATAGATTAGATTAAACCCAAGGCCTTAAATGTGCAAGGCATGTGCTCTGCACTTTATCCAAAGGTTGATCTCTTTAGCTTTCTTTATATAGTCTTGATGTTGGCTAGTGTCTGTTGTCCAACTTGCTTCTCTTCTTTGAATATTGTGTTTTTTTTTATTAGTGAAACACCATGAGGTACAGTTATAGATTTACAATTTTTTGTACTTGGGTTTCGATTATACAATGATCAAATACCCATCCCTCCACCAGTACCCATTTTCCACCACCATGGATAATATCCCTCCCACCCCCATCCCCCCCATCCCCCCCTGCCTCTGTGGCAGGGAAATCCCTTGTGTTCTCTCTCTCCTTTTGGGTGTTGTGGTCTGCAAAAGAGGCATTGAGCGGCAAACATGTTCAGCCCATAGTCTACTTTCGACATGCATCTCCCTTCCTGGGAGGATCCAAGGAAGGATTTTTTTTCCCTAAGTGCTTCTAACCTACTTTTCTTTTTATCCTCCCCAAAGAGGATGTTGGTGGGCAATAGTTATCAGTTTTTATCTTCTATTGATGGTGATCTAGGATCATTTTTACTCTGCTATCCTGACACAATGGAAGGCAGGGATGTAAGCAAAGTAGCTTGCTTGAATGCAAAACTCTTTGAGTTTGGCTGTTTTCCTAAACTGGCCTGTGGAGCCAAGGAGGGAGCAAGTCTACTGCTGGCACTCAAGCTAGGTTGCAATCACACTAGGTCGCATGCACACACTTCCTATAGTCCAGTCTTTTATCAGTCTCCAATTTCTATAGTTTTTTTTTTCCAATCTCTTATTCTCATTTGGTTTAGATATCGGGAGATAAATATGGATACTACCAGAGAGCCCAGTGTTAAGTATTTAAAATTCCCTTTTCTGGGAATATGCCTCCCACAGAGGCGGGGGTAGGGAGGTGGGGGGTAGCAGGAGGGATACTGGGAACGCTGGTGGTGGAGAATGGGCACTGGTGGAAGAATGGGTTCTTGACCATTGTATTACTGAAACATAATCACGAAAGTGTGTAAGTCTGTAATTGTATTTCATGGTGTTTCATTAAAAAGAAAATTCCCTTTCCAGGGCAAAGGGAGTTTTCAATGGGCTGAGTGAATCTCTGCAAGCCGAAGCCCTGGGTTTCACCCTCAAGCACCACTGCGAGCAACTCCTTACCCCAGAGCAGGGAGTGGCCCCTGAGCATTGCCACCTGGGGCCTCCAAACAAACACACACAAAAAATGCTTTATCTTGGAGAGGCTGCCAAGCAGTGCTGGGGTGAGGGTAGGGGAGAGGGGGTTGGCAGTTGGTGATACCGTCAACTGGGCTGAATGTTCAAAGCTTAAATAGTACTTGGAGCACTGGGCTACACTTAGAGGATCCTCTGGAGATTGAACTCAGGCCTTGTTTGCAATATATAATGCAATATTATATAATCTCTATATGAAGGGGGAAAAAAAGAATATGGGCCAAGACGGAGAAAACTGAAAAATAAAAATAAATGAAGAAAATTCCATAAAGTGGATCTTTTAAATACCACCCAAGGGCCTGAGAGATAGTACAGGGATTAAGGCTGCCTGCATGCAACTACTCTGGATTCCATCTTGGCACCTGAGCATCACCAGGTATAGCCCCTGGCCCCGGCACCTCTGGGGAGGACCTCACTCCCACCCCGCAAGAAAAACCAATAAAAACAAAGTTGTGAGCATCCCTTGTTATTTTTGTGTTTTGCATACTCCAAAGTAGTCGAAGATTTCAGAGAGCCCGGCAGGCTACCGAGAGTATCTCGCCCGCACGGCAGGGCCTGGCAAGCTCCCCGTGACGTATTCGATATGCCAAACACAGTAACAACAAAGTCTCCAATGGAGACGTTACTGGGCCCGCTCGAGCAAATCGATGATCAACGGGAGGGCCTTGACTTTACTTACTTTACTATATAGACCGCCTTCTTGGCTTCCCCACTCTCGCTCTCTACCGGAAACAAATGTGAAATGTCTGTTCTTGAGTTAGATCTACAAAGGGGTGAAAACCTCTGGTTCTCCAATTTTGTTATCAGGCTGGGCAATTGTGGTTCCCAGATTATTCAAGCTCTTTTGACACAAATTACCCAGGTAGTGAGATGACTGGTGCCTAATCCATAATTCACTTTTTTGGTTATTGTTTTTGTAGGGGCCGGAGCGATAGCATAGCGGGTAGGGTGTTTGCCTTGCACGCGGTCGACCTGGGTTCAATTCCTCCGCCCCTCTCAGAGAGCCTGGCAAGCTACTGAGAGTATTCCGCCCGCACGGCAAAGCCTGACAAGCTACCCGTGACGTATTCGATATGCCAAAAACAGTGACAACAAAGTCTCACAATGGAGATGTTACTGGTGCCTGCTCGAGAAAATCGATGAATAGGACAGTACTACAATGCAGTGTTTTTGCAGGGTTCATTCAAACCCTGGATGAATGATGGCAATAAAAACGTTTATATGTGTAACTTGTTTCTGCTTCTGGAGACCATCCCTGGTCCTTTGACTCCAGGCCTTAGCCAGATTCCACTGAACTCCTACGCTGTTATGCTGCTGTCTTTTCCTTGGGCTCTCTGTGCACGCCAGGCCTTTGAACTTTCACCTCATCTCAAGAACTCTGTTTTGTTTTTGGTTTTTTTTTTTTTTGCTTTTTGGGTCACACCCAGCAATGCTCAGGGGATACTCCTGGCTCTGCACTCAGGAATTACTCATGGAAGTGCTTGGGGACCATATGGGATGCCAGGGATTGAACACAGGTTGGCTGCAGGCAAGGCAAATGCCCTACCTGCTGTGGTATCACTCTGGCTTGAACTGTGTTTTTAAAGAACAAGTAATTTCCCTAGTGTGTATTGGGTTCCTGACTTGCACAAGTTCATTGTTTAGTTATCTTACTTCATTTGGAGACTGAGCTGAAAAATATCTAAAAGGCAAAATTCATTATAAAAAAGAAAGAATAAATTACAGGTGAGGGATGTAGCTCAGCAGCAGGGCACTTACCTTGCATGTGAAAGGCCCTAGGTTTACCCCCATCGCCACACACACTGTTGTGCATACTGTGCCCTCCACTAACAGAGGAAAATAAAATCTTTTACATTATGTTTGTAATAAGATGAGGCTGAACTGGGTCAAGTCAGGGACACTGACTCATCTCCACATCTGTTCAATATTCATCTCATCCCTTGAACACAGAGCGTGCTCAGCAAGTATTTGTTGAACAAATAAATGAACCCTCTGCTAACAGAAAGATTAAACTATCCAGTAACTCCCTCTTTCCTGATTGCCATTTTAAAAAAAATATTTCCATGACTAGTGTACATAAACTTAAAAAGAAATCAATGTGCACTCTTCCCGGAGCCAGCAGAGACCTCACCCAGGACTGCATTTGAACAGGGAAAACAGGAAGAACAAACCCCCACCCACACATTTCCTGGAATTACCATTCTGTTCCACCTCATCTGAACAAAACATTGGGCTTACCTGAATCAATACTTTTGAGCAGCGTATAGAAGTTTGGGAAATACTGAAGTTCTTCAAAATCATCTTCACTGTAGGTTTTAGTCCTCCTTTGCAAGCCACTGGCCAGGGTTAAGGTGTTTGAGACTGTCTCATCATTCTCCGCATTAGGAACACCTTCCTGAACGGCTGCCATGGAAGGCTCCAGGGGGAGTGGGGGAATCAATAAAGATAAATAAACGAGTAAGGCTTTTGTTAGAACTAATGGCCCTCCAGCTTGATTTATCCTCTTGATTTATGCCAAGTCCAAGAATGCCTCTTCCGGGGCTGGTCTCTACGGGATCCACCCCTATTCTCACATGAGGGCACCGAGGCCCATGGAGGCGTTGCTGATACTTAAGAGACAGATGCTTACCCTAAAGACCCTGATCCTGCTTGGGGGAAATGAGGAAATGATTTCTAGGTTTCTTCTCTGGCCAAGTTCCCCTTCCGTGGGTCTCTAAACTGACATATAAAAATGATTTTTCTGGGTTTAGTGAGATAGCAAGTAAGGCACTTGTCTTGCACGCTGCTGACCCTGGTTCAATCCCTGGCACCGTTTATGGTCCTCTGAGCACCACCAGGAACAACCCCTGAACACTGCCAAGTGTGGGGCAAAAAGTAGAAAAAAAACACACCAAAAATATGACTTTTTCTGAGGATGGGAGCTTGGAGTTCTCCAGAATATACCTAGAAAGATGGTGCCTTGATAAAGGACATCTGTCAGAATGTCCAATATCAACAGAGAAGCATAAAGCTTGGGGACATTTTCGGGGATTTGTGGAAGGAGTCATAGGACTTCCTCCCTTCCAGACTTGAAGCATTCCCTTTGCTCTCCATCTTAATTAATGAGGCAACATCCACTCAGTGGATTTGACCGAAATCGAAGCACTTTTCTCGCTTCTTCCACTTGCTTTTCCTCCATTCAGCCCACCAGTCGCCTGATCTTCAAAACTGATCCCATATATGTACATTTCTCTCTCTCTCTCTTCCCCATCCCACACTCTCAGCTGCCTGCATGTCTCACCTTCAAAGTGGGCCACCAACCACCTCCGGTCGATTTCCCACCCAGTAGCTAGTTACCTTGCTTAAACTCATCCTGGAACTTCGTCGCTTGAAAATCCTTGGGCGTTTTCCCACGACTTTTCAAATAAGTATCAGGGTCCCCCTTTGGCTTGGTGGCTTTTCCTGCTTTGGCCTGGGTCCACCTCCCCCAAAACATCCCTGAGGGCCCACTGTGCCAGCCACACCCTGCGTGCCAACAGCCTGGCTCCCCCACATCCTTTTCCGCACGGTTCTCTCACGTTCACAAGTTGACTCCTATCCAGTCTTCAGTTCTGGGCTCAAGTTTTGCCAGAAACGTCTGTCCCAAGGCTAAGTCTCCGACAGAGACTCTTTTTTTATGAGATCTCACAGCACCAAGTTTCTCTCCTCTGAGCACTGAATGAGCTGTCATTCAGGCACACGGCTACACGAAGATGGCCTATTTCCTCCTACACCTTACACCTCTTTGGTCATACCCATCTGTGCTCAGGGCTGACTCTTGGCTATGTGCTCAAGGATCACCCCCCATGGGGCTCAAGGGACAATATGGGGTGCCGCCAGGTCAGCCACATGCAAGGCAAATTCCTTACATAACCACTGTGCTATCTCAATACCCCCAGGTATTCCATCTTTTGAAATGTACACTGAATCCCCAGTGCTTATGACCCAACTGTTAAATCAGCAGATATTTAGGAGCCAGAGCTGTGGCTCAAGTGGTAGAGCACATGCCTTGCTTCTGCAGGACCATGGGTTCAACCCCTGATACTGCACAGATTCCCAGTCCCAAACATTGTGAGGGGTAGCCCTGGTGGTCCTTAGAGCACTCCTGGGCTTGTCTCCAATAGCTCCGTACAACTAAACAAATATATTTACTGAAGGGACATTTCAGTTGCACTGATGCATTTAGCACACAGGTCAAACAGTTTGGAGATTGGTAGGTAAGAAGACCATAAGAGGAGGAAAGGAGCTCAGAAAGAGTTATGTTCAGTCCAGCGATAAGCTTGAGTGAAAGTCATGAGTACTTTGACAAAATCTAGAAAAAACAATTTAGAGTGGCGATCTTCAAAAGCTATTTACCAAAAATATGGAAGTCGAAGAGGGTTAGCAGTGCAGGCAGCAGCGCGGGAGAGAGGGCTCGATGGGCTCAGCCTTTGTATGCTGGAAGCCCACAATCTTTCCCTAGCAGTGTGACTGTGGCTTGGGGCCACCTTTGAGTACAGGGCTACATGTAGCTGCTAAACATTACTGGGTATGGCCTGCAAAGAAGAGTTAACAAAAGAAGTAAGGGGAGCAAAAGAGTTTTCAGACTATTTAATCAGCATTAAAAAAAAAAAAACACCCAGATCCATTGGGGCCAGAGAGATAGCACGTAGGGGGCTTGCCTTGCACACAGATAACCTGGGTTTGATCTCCAGCACCCTGAGACGCTCTAGGAGTGACTCCTGAACTTAAAGCCAGGAGTAATCCCTGAGCACCACGGATGTGGTCCCCAAGCAAAACAAAATGAAAATCCAGGCCCAATTCTGTTTTCTAGCTTCCCCTAAAGCAGGGCTGTAGCATATGCACCCTGGGCCCTTGTCTTTGAGATTGATGTAGGAATGGATGGGAGTCATAGTGATGGAGAGTCATGGTGGTGGGGAGTCATGGTGGTGGGGAGTCATGCTAATGGGGAGTTATGCTGATGGGAAGTCATGATGATGAAAAGTCATGGTAATGGGAAGTCATGGTGGTGGGGAGTCATGGTGATGGGGAGTCATGGTGATAGGGAGTTATGGTAGGGAAAAGCAAATGAGACATGAGGAGCTTGAGTTTCTAGAGTTTACTCAAGAATTCAAGGTGGGGGAGAAAGGTCTTAGTCACCTGTTTAATGCCAAACAAAAAGATAAAGAGACAAGGAGTCCAGCACAGGAAAGGCAGGCTGAATGGTTGGTCCATGCCCAGGACAGCCGATGAACTTCTGAACGAATAGAAAAGGGAGGAGCAAAGGGAAGGGCACAGGGTAGACCAGAGGCAGTATCAGTGAATGGATGTTAGGGTATAACTTGCTCTGGGGAATCTGGAAATTGATTGGCACAAGGCACATCAAACCAAGTTTCTCTTTAGGAATTTGGGGGCAAATGCTATCTACACAACTTGGATAGCAGAACAACTATGAAATAATTGATTCCAGGGGCCACAGTCCTAGTACAGAAGGTAGGGTATTTGCCTTGCAAGCGGCCAACCCGCCCTGCAAGCGGCCAACCCGGGTCCCCATATGACTCCTCAAGCTCCGCCAGAAGTAATTCCTGAGTGCAGAGCCAGGAGTAACCCCTGAGCATCGCTGGGTGCAACAACAACAACAAAAAAGTTTGATTCCAGTTCATTAGGGTCATGTAAATAGCTTTTATGTAAAATGAAAGCTTTCAAGAAATAATATTTGACTGTGGTGTATAGAATCTAACTTTTATTCCATAATATGATCTGCATCTTTGAATTATTTTCAAAGTATGTGTAGAGACGGATAAAAAACCAGCCACCACCATGCTGAGACCACTCTCCGCACACATGAAGGTACTGGCAGAGGGACAAATTCATGCGGGTTCCGGGGCTGAGATCTCCAAGCCTACTCGGATTTGGGCCGAGCATCCTCCACCCAGATCCTCCAAATTCCAGTAGGCGGGGTCACACCCACCAACTGGCCCCCTGGCGCCGTGTAATCCCATCAACGGCCAAGACTCAGAGACTATAAAAACCAGCTCCCGGAACCATTTGCGGCCGCGCGACATTCTATTATGACATCTTATTATCTCATTCCTACTTTGGACAAACTGGTAGGCTACCGAATGTAGCCTGCCCACACGGCAGAGTCTGGCAAACTCCCCGTGGCGTACCCAATATGCCAAATACCAGTAACAATGATGGGTCTCATTCTCCTAAAGAGCCTTGAATATAATCTCAGGGCTAGGATGAAGGAGACGTTACTGGGGCCTGCTCGAGGCAATCGATGATTAGCAGGATGATTTGTGATTGTGTGATGTGTAGAGACACATCCAGGCAGATGCACTCGTGTGTACATACCACTTTGCCTGGGAGTTTTCCAGCGAGACTCTCAGTCCTGCTTGTAGGTGTGTTGGACTCCTCCTCATAGTTATTGGCTTCCTTAGAGATCAATTTCTGTAAAACTTCCGCTACTTCATCTTCCAGTGTCTGTGCCTGGCTTTCTGTGATCTAGTATAGTCAAAACATATACATTATTCCAACTTTTGTAATTTTAAAAAATCCTAAACTCTGTAGTTGAAGATGTCTGTTTAGAAGACAAGACACTCTTTATGGACCCAGTCTGTGGACAGACTCTCTCTGTGTACTCTCTTAGCCTTTACATGGGATCCTCTGTGGATAGCCTTTGAGGAGTCCACTGCTCAACACTGCCAGAAGTGTCTGCCTGTCCACTATGCAGAGGTAAGTTCTTCCTGAAAGCCATGGAACTGATTCTGAGAAACTCCTTAGAGCTTGTTTCTCAACCCTCAGCTATGGAGAGTCCAATAACCTTTGAAACTCTGAAATTTATGATCCAACTAAAGCCTGCCAGGGTTGTTTGAGGGTAGGGTCACCAATTAGAAATTACCAAACATTGCATATTATTTTTGGTTTGTCTTATTTGGTGCTATCGCTCCCTGGCTGGAGCGATAGCATAGCGGTAGGGCGTTCGCCTTACAAGCGGCCAACATGGCCGACCCGAGTTCGATTCCTCCACCCCTCTCGGAGAGCCCGGCAAGCTACCGAGAGTATTCGATATGCCAGACACAGTAACAACAAAGTCTCCAATGGAGACGTTACTGGGCCCGCTCGAGCAAATCGACGATGAACGGGAGGGCCTTTTATTTGGTATTTTATTTGGGGTCCATACCTGGGGAAGTTCAGAGGCTATTCCTGGCTCTCTTCTCAGAAGTCATTCTTGGCAGTGTTCTGGAAACCATAAATGGTGCCAGGAACAGAACCCAGGTAAGCTACATGCAAGGCACGTGCTTTACTCCCTGTACTCTCTCCAGCCCCCAACACTGCAAATCTTTGCTCCTTCTGGCTGTACATATGGCTTTTACTTCTGCTGGCTAAGTCCTAGACATCCTTCAAGGCTTTCATCAAATACCTCCTCCTCTGTAGCTGATTTCCCAGATGGATAAAATTCAACCTCTGGAACAAGTGGAACCACTTCTGTGGTTCTTACACAATTTGCACTATAGATATGCACATACTTGTTTAGTTCATCTGAGACTGAGTTTCTACAGGAAAGAACAGTGTCTTATTTATCCTTGAAACAAACCTACATTGCCTTGTCCAAAGTAAGTTCACTGTAAACAATTTGACACTTGAATCAAGTGTCTTAGCTTCTTAGCTTATTCCGTACTAGACCAAGAACTTGGCTTCTTCTCATGCAAATAACTTACTAGGCCAAGATTCAGCAGTTTAGAAACAATCTTGTCAAACACGCCTCTGTCATTTTCCTCATAAATCCTGGTAGCAATTTTCTGGACAATATCTTCAGCAGTTAAAGGAGTTCCATCTAGCTGATGAAGGCCATCTGGATCATCTAAAGAGAGCAATCACAATTTCACCCATGGTATGTGCAGGTCTATTTCATGGATCACGTAATCATAATCTGTCTTTGCTCTAGTATATTCAACTATGCTTGGGATATATTTATGGAGGTACTCGGTTCATGTAAACCTGTGGTTTTCAAATAGTATTTGACTTTAAGTGAACAGCCTGATGATACTAGAAAGATTCTGAAAGCATCGATGTGACAAGTAGAAAAGTTCTCTCCTCTGGCTAGAGAAATAAACAGGGACCATAATTCTTGCCTGGTAGGTAAAGTTCTTCCCTGTACCATATAGGGGTCACTCCTGAACACAGAGCCAGGAACAGCCATGAACACTGCATGGGGTAGCCCCGAAAGAAACAAACAGAAAAATCTAAGCAACAAAATTCCCCCCAAAAGGCCTATTTTAATTATCATTAATAATACAAACACTGGCTGGAGCGATAGCACAGCGGTAAGGCGTTTGCCTTGCACGCAGCCAACATGGCCGACCCGAGTTCGATTCTTCCACCCCTCTCGGAGAGCCCGGCAAACTACCGAGAGTATCTTGCCCACCTGGCAGAGCCTGGCAAGCTCCCCGTGACGTATTCGATATGCCAGACACAGTAACAACAAAGTCTCCAATGGAGACATTACCGGGCTCGCTTGAGTAAATCGATGAACAACGGGAGGACAGTGACAGTGACAATACAAACAATGTTATGCTGAATATGTCAGCACCACAACCTGATGTGTGACCTCTGGCAAGCAACAATAACATGGCAGAGAGTGATAGAACAAGGAGGTAGGGTGCTTGCCTAGCACATGGCTGACCCAGATTCAATCCCCAGCACCCCATAGGTCCCCCAAGCCCTGCCAGGGAGTGATCTTTAAGCACAGAACCAGGAGAAAGCCCTGAGCACTGCTGCATGTGGCCCAAATATAAAAACAAATAACAAAATGTGACAACAGAATGACAAAAAGCCACTTGAAATCTATGTCAACATTTGCAGAGGAGCTTGGATATATCGTTAGCTTTAAGCAGCACGACTTTAGGCTAAAGAGAGTCCATTCTAAGAGGAAAGAAGTTGCAGGGACTTGTGAGAAGGAAGCATTGTTATATGTCCATGAAAAAGTCCCAGGAGGGGCCGAAGCGATAGTACAGCAGGTAGGGCACTTGCCTTGCACTCAACCAATCAGGTTCTATTCCCATTTGGTCCCCTGAGCACCTCCAGGAGTAATTCCTGAGTGCAAATCCAGGAGTAACACCTGTGCATCGTAAGGTGTGACCCAAAAAGAAAAAAAAAGTCCCAGGAATTGGTTGGTGTTTTCCAGTCTCTAGGACACTGAGCAGCATTTAACTATCTGCAAGTTTACAAGTCACTAACACTTGTCATCTTTTGGATAGACTAGAAAAAAAATCATACTTCTAGCCCCAATAAGACCTCTTGTTATCAATAAATCCTTGGATAACAGTAAAGGAAGAGAATATGCAATGCAATTATGAGGCTCATGGAACTGGAGAGATAATTCAGCAGGTAAGGCGCTTGACTGGTATGTACTTGATAGGTTCAATCTTGAGCACCAAACATGGTCCCCTGAGACCTGTCAGGAGTGATCCCTGAGCTCAGAGCCACGAGTAAGCCCTGAGCACTGCCATGTGTGGCCCCAAAACAATGACATAATTATGAGGCTCAGGTTAAATAGGGTAACAAGTACCTTTTGATACTATTGGGGTCAGAGAGAAAGCTCATCAGGTTGAGTACAAACTTTGCATGTAGGGGATCTGACTTGATTCCCAGCAGCATGTGTTCCCGGAGCATCGGGGACCTCTTCTGGGACACAGAGTGACCCCAGAGCACTTCCAGTGTATCCTCCCCAAAAACAAAAATAATAAATTTCAAAAAAAATTGTGAAATACTATGTGAACACAAATGTTGCATTGCCATTATGAACTGTGGATCTGTTCTTGAAATAAAGGAACTGCAATTTTCTTCTGAGAAAGTAGACTCTGCATTGCTAGCCTTATTCTGCCTAAACAATTCTGATCCTATTCACTCAAAGAAGAGTGTGGCATTTATTTCCCTTCTGCTTCTGCTCTTTTCTTCCATGGCTGCTGAGGATCTGGACAGGACTCTTCCATAGCCTGCCTTGCAGACACCATGAAGAGGGAAATGTATCGAGCCTGGTGCAGAGATCTAATTGTACAGAAAGGAGCTGAGCTGGGAGATTACACACGGAGCTTCTCGGGCTGTCTGTTGCTTCCAAGCTGCCGGCTAACCCAGATGCAGTGAGCCCTTTGAACCCTGCGTACCAGAGTGACTAATGAGCTGAGAAGCCCCAAAGCAAAACCTCCCCAAGTCAGTTTTCCTTCTGGATGACTGAGAATCTGGTTCATTATTATTTTCAGCAGTCAAGACTTATGATCATGTTGGTCTGGTTTTTCCATTTGTGGGGTGCAAGCTAAGACTCTTGGGAGCATGTGGAGGAGAAACAGTCTAGGCCTAAAGAGAGGCGGAGAATTTATTTCCCTCGTCTCTTATCCCTCAGGATCTGACAAAGGAAGAATACTGGTTGCCTGATGGAGCTGGAAAATGACTGAGAGGACTATTTTTCAGTTCATTTACTTCACAACAGGGAAAAGAGCCCTGAAAATAGAGCCTTTCTCCTCGGCCATACTGCTGTGCGGTGTTGAGCGAGAACGGGGGTCTCCTCTAGTGCGGCTGTGCTAGGAGGGGGTACTGGCAGAACACCAAGGTACTGCTCCTTACTGGTCACTGGTTTTCCCTGACCCCTTGGAAATAGAGTTATGCAGAATGTATTCTCTATTGCTCATGAAGGGATATTTCACCCTCCTAAGAAACCCCTCAGAGGGAAGCCAAACTTGGCTTCAATCAATACAACTAGATTTAGTTGCTGTTTGTTGGGCATACAGGGATCACCCCTGGCAGGGCTCAGGGCACTGTATATGGTGCTGGGAGTTTAACCTAGGTCAGCTGCGTGCAAGGCCAGCACCCTACTCACTGTACTATCACTCCAGCTCCAAGTAGAACTTTTTTGTTTGTTTGTTTTATATTTTGGAGGTCACACCTGGCAATGCTTACTCCTGAATCTGTACTCACGAATTACTCCTGGTGGTGCTGGCAGACCATACAGGATGCCAGGGATGGAACCCAGGTCAGCCACATGCAAGGCAAATTCCCTACCCGCTGTACTATTGCTCCAGCCCAAGTAGAACTTCTTAAAGCTTTCAACATTTTAGGTGGACATGAAAGTCACATACTAAGTAATCATACGCACAGTAATGTTTTGAATTCCAAGCATCCAATATGGCATTTGATATTTACTTGTTCAATACATTTTGTAGCGGCACTTCTGAGCAGTGTTTAGGGGTCCAGGAGCCACTCCTGGTGATATTTGGCCAAGCTCAGTGAGGCAATGCTGAACTGCTTGGGCCCAGAGGGGCTGGAGACCACCAGGGTTATATATACCTGCCGGTGTTTGAGGGGACCATTGCTCCAGTCCTTTCAGCTCTCCCCTTGGTTCCTATTTAGTAGAGTTTTTTTAGAGCATCTTAACTGGACACTCTAAAAAAGGGGCCAGACTGGAAACAGAGTTAGTTTAGGTCTGGACCCTAACTGCATAGAGCTTATTGTCCATTTCATCATCTGACATGTAGAATTGACAAATGAATATTTGGTGAATGCACGTAGGAATCCCAAAGCATTACTTCACAAGAAAATAAGCAGAAAACCCTCCAAATTTGGGGAAAAACTGAATTTCATATACTATAGAAAACAATGAAAAGAAGAACTGATCACCTCGATAGCACAAGTCCATTTAGAGTTCTCCTACAGGTGTGACTGACCTGGGAAAACACTTGCAGATTAAGCTCCCTCCCCTCCCGTTGTAAGTCTGCACATCTCTGAGGCTTTAGTCACCATTGTGGTCCCAAACCCTCTGGCTCCAGAATTTCCAGGAAATGAGTAATTTACTCATAGATTATTGTCTCCAAGAATCTTCTCTATAATCCCAGGTGAACTCATGATGACCCCTGGGGCAAAATCCTGAGCCATCAGGACTAGCACTGGATAGCTCTGATTCCATTGGGATTATAATAAAAATGATGAACAATTTCAAAATAAGTTGGTAAACTTAGTGGTTATATCATAAGCATATCTGTGCTATTGCCTGCAAGGACTACCAATATAACCCCAAAATTATTAATAATAAAAAACCCCACGGCTTTTGAATTTTATTAAATGGTCACTTCAAAGGAGTTGAATCTGTTTCGCATGCCATTATAAACAGTGTCCAATGTATTCTAGTCCAAATATTTTCTTTTTGGGGTGGTATTTTTTGTTTTTGCGCCACAGCTGGTAATACCTCAGAGCTTAATCCTGGCTCTGCACTCAGGAATCACTCCTGGCAGGAATTGAGGGACCATATGGTGTGCTGGGGATTGGACCTGAGTCAGTTGTGTGCAAGGCAAGAGCCCTACCTTCTGTGCTATCACTCTGGGAGTACAAGTATTTTTAGGTTAAAATGTATGTCAGGACAGGAGGTGTGGCTCAGTGGTAGAGTAAGTGTCCCACATGTGTGAAGCCCCAAGTTTGATCTCCAAAACTGCCCCCCTCAAAAAAAGCGAAAACGAAACTCAAAAAACAAAAAGTAGAATTCAAGAGAAAAATTAGCAATTTCTCTAAATCATACACAATGTAATATATGTCCCAGGATAAACCATCACCCCCTTCCAAACATGTTCAGCACGCTCTGATATTGTCCCAGCTATGTGGACTTCTAAGAGGAAAATCTAATGAGTATTTGTTTTCTGGCAGGGATTATCTGCATCATTTCTAGCAACCATGGAACAGTGTAAGGACATGTAAGAAAATTGGGACACAGGTCTTCAGAATGAGAAACATGCCACCTCCTCCAATGCCGAGGGACAATTAGTGCCTCATCTTCTTTCATTTGTTCTATTCTTCTATTTGTTCATTTAGCAGTTCCTGCAATGTATTCATGAGCATCCAGACAGTAGTCTCTGCTCTCATGAAGTTCTCAATTAGTTTTAGAGGGGGGAAAAAAAACCTCTGCTACATAGTCAAGGCTAGGGAAGTAAAACGCATTAGATGACAGGGAAAAAGGGACATTTCTTTCTCCCCCCCCCCCCACTCACTTTTAGTTTTGGTTGTCGTTCCTTTGTTTGTTTAGAACTTAATCCTGGCTCTGCACTCAAGGATACCTCCTGGCAGAGCTTGGGGGACCCCCTATAGGGTGCTGGGGATTGAACCTGAGTCAACTGCATGCAAGACAACAGCCTCACCTGCTATACCATTGTTCCGACTCCAAGAAGATTGTTTCTATCCTATCATGTGTGTTGGATGATATGAGATTATTTTTTTACCAGTTCCAGGGATTGAACCCAGGTCTCATGCATGCAAGGCATATACTTTACTGCTGGAGTCACATCCTGGCTCTGGATGATCTCGAAATGTAAGTATCTGAGCTGAGCTGGTAGTCCATGTAGAACTGCGGAGGCTATGTTAAGGAATTTGGTTCTTCTCCCATAAGAATTGGGAATCTATGAGTGCATTTTGTGCAAAAGAGTGACATCCTAATTGTGTGTGTAGAAATGATCCCTCTGGCTGCTACCTAAAGAATGAGTTAGAAAGGGACAAAGCCCATGAGAAGATTTTGCTGTGATCAAGTGAGACGTGATTTGATCTTGAAAAATATTACTGGTTATGGAAAAAGAGAAAAAAGTGAAGAGAAATGCAGAAACAGCACCACAGAGCCTGAGCAGCGCAAAATCCTTGAGCCCTAGTGTTGAATCATCTGGACCAGCTGATGAATATCACTGGAAGGGCCCCTGAGAAGCCTCTGAACACTCCTTGGACCAAAGACATATACAGGATGTGAAATGGTTAAGATTGGTGGATTACAATTGAAGAGGTAAACAAATGGAAAGAGTTTAATTCTAAGATTTCTGTTCTGAAAAATTGGGTAAGTAGTAGTACTTTTTCCTAGAGAGAGTACTCTGTAGGGGCTAGATTGTAAGTCAGACAGAAATAATTCACTGGTTTTTGGATAAGCTTGAGTACTTCAGAGACTTACAAGGAGTTACTCAGGAAGAGTTTCTCAAAGTTATTTGACCTATCTCCACCTTTTCAGAAAAAAAAATTATTGCTCAGCACCCTTTTGGACATCAATCTTAGAATATGCGCCCCCCCCCCCCCCGTGGCTATTACTGCTTTCCCCATCATTCCAGCAAACCCCAGAGGGTGGTATCCCCCACTTTGGGAAACACTCTTAACGTAGGGTGATACAGGTCTATAGTTCAAAGAAACCTGCATGAATAATAGATAAGACATTAGAATAAATGGTAACTGAGGCTGTTACAGTCTACAGTCTTCTAGAAAGAGAAGACTGTAAAGGAAGTAATGAGAGCCAGAGAGATAGTACAAGGGTTAAGATGCTTGCCTTGAATGAGGCCAGCCTGGTTTAATCCCTAGCATTACATATGAGCTCCTAAGTACTGCCAGGAATGATCTCTGAGCATAGAACAAGGAGTAAGTCCTGAGCACTGCTGGGTATGACCCTAAGACCAAAAAAGGAAGTAATAACTGTTTCATCTTTTGGGGGTATTTTATTGATTTAATTATATGAGAATTATAACATTTGCTTGTATTAATAGACTATAATATTATAATATATTATACATATTATAATACATTATAATAATGTAGCCTAACTATTAATATTATTAATATGTAATAATGATTAGACTATAATATGATTCATTTAAAAATAGATAGTATATATAATTTTTAAAAAATATCAGTAAAGAAATGTTTAAGGAGAAAATAAAATTTTGGCATCTGTGCAGCAAGGGCTTTGTGCATTATCAGTAAATTTAGACTTGCATTTTAGACTCAATTAAAAATTAATAGTAGAACATATGCATTTTGAAGAACAGAACTTTCTATCAAGCAATAACAGAAAACCCCAATTTTGAGAATATTGGTAACAAAAGTTCTTTGTCCTCAATTACCTTGAAATTTATGATCCACTCCACTCTTAGTAGAATCATAATCATCAATCACTCTTCGGTTTTTGGTTGAATCAACATCTTCCAAGCTCAACTTATTATCATACGGGGGGCTTCTCATGGATTGTCTTTCTTTCTCATTTTTTTCCTTTTCTGTTATTGCCTTTAGCAGGTTCAAGTTCTCAGCAAAGGAAAAATTGCTTTCACCTGGTTTGTTTTCTGAAAGAAAAGCGCCCAAGCCCAATACATTTATTTTAGTTAAGACTCTCATAACCCACATTACTTAAATTAACGTCAGTATAGGTTTTGTTTTTTTTTTTACCTGGGGAATATGTTTTTTTAATCTTGTCTGCCTCTGCTTCAGCAATCTGTAGAACAAACCAGAGATAAAGCTGGTTTTTAATGACTGCTCCGCTGCTTACCAAGTATGACAGCTAAATGATTTAAATCTCCCTGGATTTTAGTTTTCTTCTTTGTACAGTGTAGAAATTTTCTATCTCAAAGCAGTATCAAAAAGATTAAGCAAGATAAAAAATAATGACATATGCTCTACAAATATTAATCCCTCTTTATAATGTTGGTGAAAGACAAGTCTAGGGTAATTGAAACAATTTTACAAGAGTCAATGAAAAAAGATGTTGAACTTACTGGGTTATTATAGTCACCTCTATACAGTAGATGTAACTCTATAATTTTAAGGACACAGAAATTACCCAAACTTATTTCGTATCCTATCAATAAGTTATTAGTTTCTGAAGTTTGTGAATTCAAACCGATTAAAATGTCACAGCACAATTGTACTGTCAATAGCTAAAGTAAAATGAAATAGCATTTGGAATTTTACTTTTAACTTACCTGTTCATTCAAAGGTCTTTCTGCACTCAGTTCTCTATTATGTAGAGGTTTGTCTGAAATACAAATATAAACTCAATTGTGCAATGGAAAGTCACAAAACACACCTCCTATTATATAAAAAAGGTTAAAGCAAAACTGCTAGGGAAACCGGTGTTGGATGGCTGAAACAAAAATGTTTATTAACGAAGACGATCAAGCTTATACAATCACAATTATGAACATCGTCAAGCTTATTATCCTTCTTTCCCGTGTTGATACAATCACACTTTTCTTTTTTCTGACCCGAGTTGATACAGTTATCCCGACTCTCCTAAAACAAAAAGCTTTACCGGCCGTTTTCAAGGAGACAAAGCCTAATTTGAAAGGGCTTTATTGGTAAGGCCTTTCTTCACATGCTAACAAGATATATGAGAAAGGTTGTACGACAACTGAAACAATAAAACAAGTCAGGCATCCTCTCTTCTAAGTAAGATCTTTCAAAACCACTCATGTTATTGCGTCCGCTTTTAAACAGCGAGGAGCGGGAGGTGAGGGGTGGGAGGGTTGAGGGGGAATCTGTCTATTGTCCTTGACCGATTTCGGTCCGGAGAACTTGGTCAGAAAACGAGTCGAGGTGAGGATGCACAGGCTCACGGGATTATGTCAAACCTTCGTGTCTCCGCGGGGAAATGAGCGGGGAATGAGGGGTGGGGGGGGGGGGTGGGAAGAACGTGCCCACCTACCTTGGCCGCCTCCGGGCTTGGGGAACGCTTGAATGGGGCTGCTGTGAAGCACCAGCACCAGGATCCAAGTGCCCGTCCAAAGAAATCCCATTCTTTCCCCCTCTTGGCTCGCAGCAAGCCTGGCGCCGGGCTCCCGGAGCTGCAGCTTTTGTTATGAATGAAAAGGAGGGAGTTTAGGGCAGGGGAGGGGGGAACAGGGAGAGCGAGGCGGGAGGGTGCGGGAGGCGAGCGCGGCCGGGACCCCCGCGGCCGGGGGCGGGAGCGGGCGCTGGGCGCGGCGGGACGCCTGGGGGGCGGCGGGCGCTGTCCACCCCGCGGGTGCTGAAGCGGCCGCTCCGCTAGGGCGGAGGCTGCACGCTGCGCTCGGCGCCCCGGAGGAAGTGGGCGCCCAGGCGCATGCTCCCTGCGAGCCGGGGGCGGGGGCGACGACGTCAGCGGCTCCTACGTTACTCGGATCCCCCCATCCACCCACCCGAAGGGGACAGGCTGCGGGCGGGGCGAGCGGGCGCCCGGCTTGAGGTCCGTGCCGCAGTGCTGGCTGGCTCAGGGTCACCCGCGTGCCTGCTTGCGCTGACCTCCCCAGTGAACGTCACCCCGAGGACCCAGCTCTTGCTCTGTCCCTGCGCAGAGCTTGGGGAGGCGGGATCTCCTTGGGGACTGTTCCTCCCCGAACGACTGTCTTCCCTCCCCACCTCCCCCCCACCCCCCACCGGACTGGAGTCTCTCCTTTGCATTCCACCTTCTGCACCCGAAAGGTAGATCGATCTCTCAAAGTAAAAAAAAAAAAAAGCAGAGACTAGTCTTTTGTGATTTGCGTTGATAGCTCAGCTCTTTTATTTTCGTTTCGGATCTCTGGTATCTTTTGGATTAGAGAATTTTCTAAAACATCCTTCCGATCCACCACGGCAACACACTCGCTTTCTTTCAGGCTGGAACAGAACTGAAAAAGCACTGTCTTGTCACGGAAACGCGAATGTCCTCAAGCGTCCTGAGTTGGTTTTATTCTAAAAATGACCCTTCTCCAACAAGAGGCAAAGACACCCCCCTTCCCGACACACATACCCCCAGTTTGACCGCCACTGCCTAAAGCAGGAAAGGAACGAACTAAGAAATTATGTGTTTTTTTGTACAAGTTATCCCATGATTAATGTATGCATGCAGATCGGCCTCTTCCAGACATCCTTCAAGAGAGAGGGAGGGTCACACACACACACAAATTAAAAAACAATTGTCATAACTAGGTCAGGAAGGTGCTTCCTATATTCTGAGAATGATCCCAGAAGCCTAAAATTATTGTACGAAAGGACAGATCAAAAGGCGTTTAAATGATGAATACAGGCAAAAACCAATGTGAGCTGAGCGCTGAGTAAGCTCTTTAGTCTGTTTTTCAAACAGGGCCTGTGAACCGTTTCTTTCTTACCGCGGCATGCTGGGAACCAGTTTGAATAATAACCAAAGAGAAGGATTCAGCATAATCAGGCCTTTGATTTCTGTACCCTTGCTTTTCAAGGAGCAAGTTAGTCATCCAAGAACCTAAAAACAAACACACTAGCTAACAACAACAACAAAAAACTCCCCCCACTGGAGATTTTTCTTTTTCTTTTCCCCCCACTGTTTGGAAGAAGCTCAAACACTTCCTTTAAGAATCTAAAGAATGCTTTTCATCTAACAGCTACTTCAAGACAAACAGCTGTTTCTTAACAGTGATAACATAGCATTATTGTACTCATATACTGCATTAAAAAATTAAATCACGCTTTAAAATCCCAGTTGAGGGGTTGGAGCAATAGTACAGTGAGTGAGGTGCTTGCCTTGCATGCAGCCCACTCAGGTTCAATCCCTGACAACCCAAAATGGTTTCTCAAACCCCTCTGGGAGTGATCCCTGAGTGCATAGCCTGAAGTAAGTTCTGAGCATTGCTGGATGATACCCCAAAACAAATAAAATAAAAATAAAAGTACCAGTTGAGTGGAGGATAAATTTCTTTCCTCTTCTCTAAAACCAAGATGGCAGGTTCTGTGTATTTCACACTGCTCCTGTGGACAAGTGAGTATTGTGATAAATTTTGATGCTAGGAGTATTTACTATAGTAAGATTGGTGGTTTTTTTTTCCACTGGTGAAAAAAAAAAGTCTTTTGAACCGAGTCTTAAGAAAGTAAAGATTCTTAAAAGATTTTGTTTATTTGGGCCATGACTGGTGGTGCTCAAGGTTTACTCCTGACTCTATGTTCAGGGGTCACTACTGGCAGGCTCAGGGCATTATATGTGATGCCTGGATCAAACTTGGGTCAGGCACATACAAGCCCAACCCACTGTTCTATAGCTCCAGTCTGTTAGAGATCATTCCTGGTGGTGCTCTGGGAACCATGTGGGGTGCCAGGGATGGAGCCTGGGTTGGCCACGTGCAAGGCAAGTACCCTTCCTACTATATTAGTGCTCCAGCCCACCCAGAGATATTTTTATTATAGAAACATTATTGTATTATCTGAGCGATAGCACAGCAGTAGTGTTTGCCTTGCGTGTGGCCAGGTCAGCCGAGCTGGGTTCGATTCCTCCGCCCCTCTCGGAGAGCCTAGCAAGCTACCGAGTGTATCTCACCCAAACAGCAGAGCCTGGCAAGCTGCCCGTGACGTATTCGGTATGCCAAACACAGTAACAACAAGTCTCACAATGGAGACATTACTGGGCCCACTTGAGCAAATCGATGAGCAACGGGAGGACAATGTGACAGTGTGTGACCTTGTAAATATTTTTACAGTTGGTTTGGTTATCTAGGATTCATTCAGAGGTTAGGCATCACATTTTATTGGTATGCGGGAACCACATAAGTATGAAATTAGAAAGGGAGATATTCGAGCTTTTCTTTGACTTTTTCAGACATGTTAGTTGTTTCCTCAGTGCTGTAAATCATCAGGCTACTTTTGTAGATGCTCCTTTCCCCCTTATTTTAAAAATGACCTAGATGATTGAAAACATCATCATGTAGTGATAACTACTGCTAACTTATGGTTTGTCTCTTTGAAACATATTTTTCTGTCAAAATATTAGAGGAAGTATTGGGCTTTGGGACCACACCTGGTGGTGTTCAAGGCTCATTTCTAGTTCTGTGCCCAGGGATAACTCCTGACAAACACAGAAGACCATATCGGGTGACAAGGATAGAACCCATATTGACTGCATTTAAGACAAACACCCTACCTGCTGCACTATCCCTCCCACTTCTCTATTAAAATATTTTATATATGCATTTTACAAATTCTGTCTTCCCTGTCACTATCTGATTATATATCTGGCTCTCCATCCCACTAAACTATAAACCCGTTGAGGGAAAAGATCTTGTCTCACTTGTCTTTCATTTCTCGACCCCTCTTACAGCATCTAAAAATCAATTTGCTGAGAGAAATTAATAGAATAATGGAAAGTTACCTGTTTGTGTTTGGTCTTCAAGTTCTGATACTATGATTTCAAACCTACATTGGTGAGTCATATATGTCTTGCAGTGCTAGGAACCACCAGTTCCTTAAATAGCAATAATAAACTCTATCAATAAATTCTCTACTCAGCATTTCCTTTCCAAAAGAGTAGTCCTGTAGAAGTAATTTTAAAAAGCCTAAAAATAGGGAACCAGAGCTGGCAAAGGCCCTCATTGTTACAGAATGAAGGGAATGGATCAGATGCTGTTCAAGAGACTGAGGCCGGAGGCCAGCATGGCTGCTGACACAGCTCGCAGAAGTCAGGGTGTAATACAGAAATTTTCCATCAGAGGAATGTTGACATAACCCAGAATCATGTGAACCGTGCAAGTAAAAAGACTAGGACAGTCAAAGAAAGTGAAAGTATGGAAGTAAAAAGGAAAAGTATATGAAGAAAGGAAGGAAGGACGAAGGAAAGAAAGAAAGAAAAGGAAGGAGAGGAAACTCAATCAACAAGTTATTATAAGTGGCCCTCAAAGAATAAAGTACTAGAACTGAATCTGAGAGTGAGCATGAGAGTAAAATTTAGTTGTTTATTTAATCTACCTTGCTTGTACCATGGTTGAACTGTATTAGGATTCTCATCTGCCCAAAGAGCCATAGAAAAGTGTGTAAACTCACACATGAGGGGGCACGCGGCACCCACACGGCGGCGGCTCTATCTCTCCCGCCACCCGCGTTCGGTAGTCTCACCCTTCTACCACCCCGGAGAGGTCGATGGCGATGGTCAGGCGGGGGAAGGAACGAGGGCCAGGCTGGTTGGTATTAGTCGTAGTTTATTCTGATTCTTTCCTCTTCTCCCCTTGTCTCTCTATCTCTCTCTCTGCTCCCATCTCTCTCTGTTTCTCCTCGTCTCTCCTGTCTCTGCTCCCATGCTACTTCATTCTCCTTCCCCATCCCCCTTCATCCTCCTCTTCCTTCTGATCCTCTCTGAACTTCTGCTTCTTCCTTCTGCCCCTCTCTGAACTCTCTTCTTCCTTCTTCTGCCCCTGTCTCACTCCTACAGTACAGTTAAATCCTCTCTCCTGAGGAATTGGGGGAACAATTACACATAGGTGTGGTCACAATCAATAGGGGTGGAGATGAACAGGGGTAGAAATCTTAGCCTCAGGGAAGACCGCTCCTAGGACAGATCCTTCCTTAGCAGGAGGACCCACCCTAGAGCAGAATTCCATGGGCGTGCCTCTCCTCTCCTTGTCCGACAAGCGTACAAGAATATAATATAAATCATTTTGTATGGATACAGTAAGAAATATCTTAAACTTATAGAATTGCTCTCCTAGGGCCATCTCGATCTCAGACTACGGTGCTCAGGCCAGATAGTCTTTCCCACCCCTAGCAGGATCCTAGTCTTGTCGTTACCTTTGGATCATGACAGCATTTGTCTATGATCAAACTCTTAACTTATAGTTAAGAATCGTGGCACTTTGGCCTGGCCCATTTCGCTGCCAGGGTAGCTCACTGCTTGCCCTGGGTCCATTCAGTCCCTCGTCGGGACCCTGCTTTTGGGGTGTTAGGAACTAAGGGCAACTGAGGCTTAAGTCGAGAAAGATGCCCGGGAGTGAATAATATTCAAGGCCAATCAAATCCTAAGTTACAAAGCATAATGTTAACATTCTTTCTGTATCTATACAAAAAGGATATTACTTTAAGGTAAACTATTCATAAGGCATAAGGAGAGGAAAAGGGCAATATTTCACTATACATATAAAATCATAGATTTCTGGGAAACTGATCTTACAAACTAACAAAGTCTGATTAAGGGGAAAGCTGATTAACTGGGTGGGAGAGCATAGGGAAGATTGTTTACAGATAAACACAACGGAAGTGGAAGTGCTTCAGGAGCATTGAGGTGGGTGTAACCAGATCAAAACCTAAGCTTCTTGAAGGACAAAGCAATGTTACCCAA